TCGCTCTCTCTCTCTCTCTCTCTCTCTCTCTCACACACACACACACACACACACACACACACAGAAAGCCAGCATCTATGGATTTTCCCCTGCTCCATTGCTCCCCACAGTGCATAACATCTTTACCATTCGGTATGGCTTCTAAGAGGGTCATAGTTTTTCTTCCTTTCTTCTTCCATTGTGTCCCCATTGTTTCCCCAGAGCCTAGAATAATTCCTGGTACATAATAGGGTCTCAGTAAGTGATTGGTACCCCAAAAAAACTTTTAAGTAATTGTTATCTTTGGGAAAAGGCAAAAACCACTTATGTTCAGGGTTGCTTCATATTCGGACATCTATGATACATCTTCTAGAAACAATTTTAAAACTAGAAATTTAGTTTATTTCACATAATTACTTGGGATACACTGCTAGAGCATTCAAAGTTGGAAAATTGCAAGAATTTCGGCTGGCCCATCTATTTCCTATGAAAGGATAAAGTCCTCATACAGAAGGTTCGATGACTCACCCTGAACAATTCAACGTGTCTCGGGGACACAGCCAGGTGTCTGTGCTAACACCTAACTAGCAATCTTAGCCCTGTGCCATTTTCTTCTTGTCGTGTACTCTAACTACCTGATGGAGACCAAAGCATGGGACCGTAAGTGAGGAGATATTCGACCCTGCAAAAAGGCAGATGATTCCAGGGGACTCAGCAAAGCCCTAACAGAATGATGTATTCGCCCTCATTACTCAGGTTCATAAAACACTTTTCATCTGACTATTAACCTGTGTGCTCCTAAGCCTCCTAAAGAATCAGAATTATTATCTGTAGGCCTTTTTAAAAAAAAAATCCGTAGATGTTTTTATCTTATTACAACTGTTGGTATTATTTGGGTGCTGCCTGAAGAGTCACAGTCTACAAGTGAGAATGCACAAGAGGCCAGTTCCTCCTTAGTCATGTCAAATCCTCTGAATTATTTGGTTGCCTTTTTCCACTACTGTTTTATTGATATCTCTCAAGTGAAAATCTGATTAGTTATGGAAGTTCTATCGTTACCCAGGACTCCTCCCTGTGGCCACAAGACTCAACACCTAAATGCAATTCAGAAAATGACCCAATTTATATAAGCAAAAACTTATCATCTTAAATTCTGAATTGAGCAGGTAATTTAATCTTCCAATCATTTGAGGTGTTTATACCATGAAACAGATTCTAGTTACCTTTAATACCTTCTCCCAGGCTGTGACGAAGCTCAACTTTCAATGACTGGCTATGCAGAGACTCTAATTGAGAAAATGATCTAACAACATTCAGCTCTGTTCCTGCTAATCTTTATGTGAAAGATACAGTATAAAATTTAGCATTATACAGCCCTGTCTATACACTCATCCCACACTATAAGGAAAACACTGATAATGTAAAATATCCATAATAGAAGAAAAAATTGATTATCAGAGAACTCAAAAACATATGAGGCATTTACTTAAAGAATCCATGAGAAATAATGCAAGAGAAATAAAATCTCTATCAATACCTGCATATACATAGTGTTTTAAATATCAGAATTCTCTTCCAGCAGCGTTTACCACCATGTTCATCTGTACAATTATAAATATTGTTGAATGAACTTGATTCCTTTGTGTATGTTTGTATCTTTCCAGCATCTCTTTCCTGTACCACTACACTGTAAGCATTTAAGTGAGAAAGACTGAGCTGAGATGATTTTGTTTCTTCCTAAAGCTCTTCCATGCAACCACTAGGAAAATGGTCTGTGCTCAGAAGAACTTGAAAAAATGTGATCAGCAAACAGAGGCATATGCAAAGCAGTAGACAATTACCCAGAATGCTGATGTAAGTTCTCCAGGATTGAAACAGGATTCGTAAATTGTCTTGAATCATCTATTGATGATTTAAGAGATCTGGCACTCTTAAAAATGGAAAGCCATGTCTCCTCACTGTGCTCACTGTTCACCCAAAGTAGAAAGTGATGGTGTTTCCAAAATGTCTCCAAATGCTACAGAGCCCTTCACCTACCTACTCCAACTATGTGTTCTAGTTATTCATATTCTAATTACAAATAATTCATTGCACAGACTCTGCCTAAATCCCACAGAGCTGGATGCAGATGTACAGCCAATCTAAGGCAAGGTTTTCACTCTGTGGCACCATGTAAACAAAAAAGAGTCCACAAAACCAGGCGCTAAGAGGTTTATATTCTATCTCCAGCTATACCAATCTTTTGCTCAGTACTTTTGAGAGGCTGTGTTTCACCTCTGCAGACTAGAGTTTTTTCCTAGAGCAACATGAAGGAGGAACGATATAGATGGTCAAAAAGATTTCACCTAGATTCAATTCTGTATTTACTTTTAGAGTAAAATAACATACATTCAAGAAAAGGAAAATTAATGTTAATTATTAAACCAGAAATGCTGGGAATTGTTTTCATTAACACACACTAACCAATTAACAAACAATAAAACAAACACAGCTTTTTGCAAATGTCTCATGGCATTTTAAAAAAGCACAGTGCCACCTTTAGCAAGTATTTTGTCCTTACACCTTCAGTGACTTCAATAAAACAGCTGAGATTCAAGTACTAAGAATCAGACATTAAAGCAATTGCTCAGACTAGACCAAAAATTTGTTGCCAGATTCCTTGATGCAAGGCTGTTGTTTCTTGTTAATATTATCATAATTACTTATCACACAGAGATCCACTGGTATTTTTAAAACTACATTTCACACAATTTCAAAAGGAAACAAATTCTACAACTACCTCACACTGATGTTTTAAAGATTTATACAAACATGGGAAAAAAATCTGGATACCATAAAAAGTACTGAAAAAAATATAT